TAAACTTCATATTTATTTTTACAAGAATTTAAAAATATAATAACATGTCTTGAAAAGAAAAAACAGTTTCTTTTAGTTTTTTCTTGAATGAAAGATTTTCCCCATTCATAGGGGAAAGTCAAAATAAAATAAAACTATTTTGTTCCAGAGAAAAGCTCCTTGATATGCAATACGTATTTCATTATACATATATATTTTCTTTAGTATATACTAAAGAAAATATACGCAAAACAAAATCAAGCGTGTTTAATAATATGTAATGTTAACATTATGAACTGAACCTCCTTCAAAATATATTATTTATGTTTCAATCAAACAAACTTGCTACCAAAATACTTTAAAAATCAATTTTCCACCATTGATCACAAATACCTAACAAAGTACTCTTTTCACAACTTTAAAATTCCAAAAGATTTACTTAAAAAAACCGACTTCTCTATATTATCTCGAGGACCCCGGCTATGAAACTTGATCCTTAAAGAGGAAATAAAAATTCCTTTAAAGCAGCCGTCAAACAGCACCTATTTGACTTAAGTGACGTCAACATACTCTCCTATTTTTAAAGATCAAATTAATAATAACTAACTAAATATAATTTATCCCTTTTGGATGGCTGCAAATGATGATTATATTACAATACAAAAATTTTCCTTTTCTATACTCATTTATTAGATTGCTACGTACAAGGCTTTGTTTACACATTTTAGTTTTTGCTTTATTTTTGCTTATGAATTTTTAATGTCACGTTATTCTCACGTGAAACTTATTTTAATGCTGCAAATGAAAGGAGCTTGATGATATGACTGCAGTGCTTCTGTACTTGCTTCTGTCATTATTTTAATTTTTGTCTTATTTACAAATGTATACATATAAATATACTTGTATTTAAAAATCCATTAAAGTTAAATGTAAAATATATAGTGTATAGGGGAAAGCGGGGCAACATGGCGAACGTTTTGAAAGCCCTGAGTTATTGCAAAACTATCAGCCGTGAAGCAATAATACTTTCTCAGTATGTTTATGTTATCAAAATCCTTCATTGCCTGCATGCATTTTCAGTTTACAAATATAACAATTTGAAATAAATATTAAAATAAAAAGTTCATAAATTTGTTACCTGATCACGTGACCGGGGCAAGATGACTTATTATGCAATTTTTACCTCCAATTTTATAGAATCTTAAAAACTACTAAAAAATCCAACTAAAGTAACACAAAATAAACACAAATCGCAAAAACTACTTCTAAATAAAATAAACTTGAAGGGCACCATCCATTATGAGAAACCGAAGGTGAGGAATTTTTTTTTAAGTGCAAAAAGTAAACTTATGCGTATAAAATTGCGTTGATAATATTTCAAAAAACCAACTGGTGTTTTAAATTACAAGATGCAAACACAGTTTCGTTTTCAACCAATTTTAAGATTTTTTTGTTGAGTTGTTATATGAAAACCCATCTTGCTCCATTCGCCATGTTGCCCCGCTTTCCCCTATATATATGCATATATATATATATATATATATGCATATATATATATATATATATATATATATATATATATATATATATATATATATATATATATATATATGTATATATATATACATTTATACATATATATATATACATATATATATATATATATATATATATATATATATATATATATATATATATATATATATATATATATATATATATATATATATATATATATATATATGTATATATATATATATATATATATATATATATATATATATATATATATATATATATATATATATATATATATATATATTTGACCGTATATATATATATGTATATATATATATATACATATATATATATATATATATATATATATATATATATATATACATATACATATACATATACATATATATATATATATATATATATATATATATATATATACATATATATATATATATATATATACATATATATATATATATATATATATATATATATATATATATATATATATATATATATATATATATATATATATATATATATATATATATATATATATATATATATATAAATATATATATATATATATATATATATATATATATATATATATATATATATGATATATATATATATATATGATATAAATATATATATGATAAGACCGTAAGGACTTCTTGGAGCACCTTAATCAAGTTAAAATATATATATATATATATATATATTTTAACTTGATTAAGGTGCTCCAAGAAGTCCTTACGGTCTTTTCACAGAGCACCGCGGAATAGCATTTAATAGGAAGTTCACGCCTCCTTCCCAACCGATGTCGCAAAACTTGCCCATAGATGGGGTTTGAACCACGGATCTTACGCTATATATATATATATATATATATATATATATATATATATATATATATATATATATATATATATATATATATATATATATATATATATATATATATATATATATAATATATATATATATATATATATATATATATATATATATATATATATATATATAAACATGAAGTCAAAAATATATATATATTTTGCGCCAAATGATGAGCTTGGCTAAATTTTAGTATTTGTTGTAAGTTTTTATCAAAAATAAAATTAAAAAAATATATTTTAGATAATTATTATTAAATATATACATTGTAAGACCACTTTAATTTAAAAAGAAATTTATTTAAACTTGGTTCTTACTGAAAAAGGCAATATTTATGTCAGTAAAGCTTTTTTACTCGTAAAATATTAAAGGTCACGTAATTGTTTTAAAAATATACGCATAAAAATAGACAAAATATTATAAACCAAGTTTAAAGACATATTTGGTAACATAGCTAGAGGTATAAATAACAATTTTTGGATTTTCGTGTGTATAAAGGATTGAAAATTTGTTAATTTGGTGATAGTTACAAAAAAATTTTATTTTACATATAAAAGTTATAAAAACAAAAATATAAACGCATTAAAAACTAATTTTTGCTAAAAAAATTATTTATGATCACCAAAAATCTGATAGAATAAACATTCATGGATAAATGTTCCAAATTTCAACCATCAACCATGTAGCTATATTATCAAATCTTGATTGGTCTAAGACAGGTTTTTCGTAAAAATCGCCAAATACACAAAAGTGATCCCAAATCATTTAAAATATTTTAACAATGTTTATTTTTATTTTGTCTAATGGAAATATTTATTAAACGAAATAAGATATTTCTTTTATATTTTTTTTATTTGAAGATGAAAGCGTTTATAGAAAAAAAATTATATTATTTTAAAGTTAGTGAATTTTTATACTTTTTATGCGGAAATATTTTTTTTTTTTTAAAACACAGAAATTCTTGTGACGTCAGGCTCGCTTTTATATTGAATGAAACAGCCGTGTTATATGCCGTATATATGGAGTTACAATTAAAAAATTCCAATACCAGTATAATTGAAATGAGAAAAACACTCACATATAGATATAAGCACATATACACTTACAGATGAATAGATGTACATATATATAAACTGCTAACAATTATTATTATTTTATAAACATCAATAAATACGATTTTCTCTCGATACTAAATTTATTTTTTAAAAGAAATTATCAATGAGGATCCAACACAAAGTTACGCTATTGAAATCAAAGTCCGACTATCGAAATTAAATAAAAAAGGTCGATTCACAAAAGATGAATATCAGCAAATTGATCCCAGTGACCCGATACCACCTTGTATGTATGGTGTAGTGAAGGTACATAAGCCTGAACAATCTTACCAAATGCGAATTGTAGTATCTACAATAGGCACACCAAACTACGAAATATCAAATTGCTTAGTAAGAATAATACAACCAATAATAAATGAAAACCTAACTCGATTAAAAAAATCCCAACAATTCGTAGAAAAAGCAAAATCGTGGGACATATCCAGTGACGAAATTCAGGTATTATTGGACGTTATAAACTTATACCCTTCAATTCCTCTTAAAGAAGCAACTGAAGTACTCATACGTTTATTGGAGGTGAGTGATAATTTTAAAAAAGCGACAAAATTAAATATGAAAGAAATAAAAATTCTGATAGGACTGTTTATACCAACAATACTTTTTATGAAACAATGAAATTCATGAACTTTAAAACTCTGGTCCGATAGGTCTTTCGTTTATGGTAGTTTTAGCTGAATCTTTTTTTCAACATCTTGAAAATAGAGCACTTAATACAGCGCTTAAAACCAACCCACTTATTGATATAAAGTCATTTTATAGATACGTAGATGATAGTCATGTCTTAAAGTAATTATGCCTGGGCTATGTTAGGTACTCTATACCTAACATAGCCCAGGCATAATTACTTTAAGACAATACTTAATCAACAACATCAAAAATTATAATATTCCATCGAATTTTCGATGAAAATGACAAAAAAAAACTAGATTTTCTAGACATATGCATAATAAATAACAAAATGCATAATAAATAATAAAACAAAATATGAATTTAAAATACACAGAAAAAATGGAATTACTATCACACAAAAACAGTACAATAGGAAATAAAACAGAACAATCTGCATTAGCCACACACGAGACATTGTACACAACAAATTAACTGAGACAGTTGCAGAACTCTAAAAGTCGATGCTAAAAAGTTTGATAGGAAAGTTCGCGAGGCACTTGAAATACACTACCATCCCATGGACATAAAATAGAACTGCCGTTTTTAAAAATAACATATAAACGAAATAAACAAAAAACTTTTAAGCTGAAGACGCTGGTCACAACAATCCAGCGAAAATTTCTTTAAAAAAATAAATATAGTATCGAGAGAAAATCGTATTTATTGATGTTTATAAAATAATAATTAACATACTCTCATACATTTTTTTAATGTTGATTTAAAATGATAAAAAGCTGAAAAATGTTTGTTACGTTTTTTGTTAATTACGTATATTTAATTAATTATTTGACAACAATATTTGCAAATCTTAGTTTTAAAATAAGCTTAAAAAACGTTTATTAATAATATTTGCTTCATAATTCGTAACAATAAAAAAAAGGTTTTAAAAAAGCTAAAAAAAAACCCGCATAACTATTGCTCATTGTCGCCGATTTCTTCTTGCTTTCTTAAAAGAAACAATTTGCATTCGTTTTCAAACTCATTCACTTCATCAAGCTCTTGTTCTGTCAATTTACGTTCTGAAATAAAAATATATAACATATATTGGAAGAATATATGAGGAATGGGAGGGGAGTGGGGAACGGGGTCTTGACAAGTTGATGACATGAGGAAGGGAGGTAAAAATTGCCAAAAAGTTGTTGACATAATTGAAGACCTTGAAATGAAAACCTCAAATATCCACTTTTATGCAAATTGGATTTATGTTATTTTTTGGTTGCCTATATATAAAACCATGTAATGACTCTTGTTTAATGTTTTTTTTTAAAATTATGTCCTTCAAATGACTTGTCAAAAAAAAGGTACTTTTGAAAAACATCAATAGTTTCAATGTTCTTCTGAAAATAAAAATGTTTGTGACATTTGAGGTTTTCATTCCAAGGTCTTCAACTAATCGACAGCTCCTAAAGAAAAACAGATAGGTGATATTCCTAAATGTTAAAAAAGTTAAAAACTGAATTATTTGTTGATACCTAGTAACGCGTACGCAATGGTTTCTTAAATTTTATTGCTTTGTAGTAAAAAAAAAATTAAAAAATGCTCCATTTAAAATTATAGAAAAATTTTGTAAAACACATTTTTCCAGATAGGCCTGAAATAGAAACAAATTAAATTCAGACACATATAGAAAGAAACCAATTAAATACAGACACATCTAAAATAAAACAAATTAAGTAGTAATGTAATGTGAAAAACAAGGTTAAAACAATAAACGACCATTTCTTTGTTTTGCTTAGTTAATCATTTTTTTAGTTTTTTTTTAAAAATAAACTAGTTGTCCTGACCCGTAAAATACGGGTCTTGAAATCTATTTAACACCGTCTTTTTCTATACTTCTATACTATACCTATTCGTTACTTTAACTTTAGTAAGCGGCAGAAAAATAACTACATACATATAGAAAAACTATACTTATTGTTTACTTTTTAAAGGTATGAAAATTTTTTTTTTCTGTTTTAATTAACTTTAAAAATCTTTAAATGTTTCGGTATCTATCAACGGATTGGATATTAGTACCTGTCTAAATAATATTCGGAATACCCGCTTGAAATGTGTTAAATAATTACCATCGGTAAAAGTTTCCAAAAACACGAGAAAATATGTTAAATAACGGACTTACCGAACATACTTTTTAAACCATCTTAATATTTTTAAAAAGTTGACTTGGCCGCGTGGCAAGTTCACTTTCTTTTTTATTTTTTTATTTTTTATTATGCATTGCAAAACGAAACAACTTTATTTCTTTCAAAACAAACTTCTTTCTTCAAAAGTGTTTTATTTTGTATTTAAGAAAAACCAAAACAGAAAGAATTAAAAAAAAAAATTCCTAGAAATAGAAATCGAACCAGGACCTCCGCATATTAAATCCAGCGTGCTACCCGCTTGACTACGTAGACGTTATAGAGCAAAGGTTTTAAAACTATATAATAATAAATAAAAGACTTTATAAAATTGAAATAGGGGCTACAGATCAAATCATAAGGAGATGTTGCCGCAATGCGATTTTCAAGTGAAAGTAAAACTATAAAACTTGATATAAATTTTAACATCACATAACTTGAAGTTTACGTAAGTTTTATATTTCCATAAACTTTCGTTGACTTTACTTATAATAAAAAGTACTGCGGCTCTTTCTCGCTATTACTTCAGTTGCAATAGCTGCCAAGAGTACTGTGTCAAATACGCTTGAATGAGTACTGCTAAGTTCCTTGTTACAATATATGATATCCTAAAAATTAATCATAAAGATTTTTTTGTAAGTTGTTGTAATTTTTCAGCCTTTTTTATGTGTAAATGAACACCTTTTTCATAATTTTTCCTCTTTCAAAAATAAGGTTTAATCTTAAGTTAAACACTTTAAACCTTAATTTGTTTCTGTAAGAAACAAATTAAGGCTTAAAATGATCAAGATAAAAACCGTTTTAAAAGTAAAATCCCGTTGAGTACCACAAACCAGACGGTGTAAAAGCGGACACTTCTCAGAAAAACTTAATTTCTTAACTAAAAAATAAAAACTATTTTGCAAATTATATTGGTTATCATTTACCTTATAACAACATTTGGTATTAAAATATATTTGAAAATATTATATTTGGTATTATAAAATATTTAAATGAGTTTTTTAGTGTGCGGAAAATTACAAAATATAAAAACAAAATTATTAAAATGATTGTTTTAATAACATATTTAGGGTAATGAGGGGCAAACCTTAAAAAATATGAGCTGCACAACTGCAGTGGTTTGGTTACCAGAGATCATTCATTGACAACACTAACCTTTTGCCCCGGGGCAAATTGAGATTTTTTTTAATGTTTTTTTTTTAACCAAACCAAATAAATAATGAAATACAAAACAGATTTTCAAGAGAATTAGCAAGATAAACAATTTATAATATCATACAGCTAATAGTAATTTATAATATATAATCAAACAAATAAAATACATAATCAAACTGTCACTAGTCAATCATATAATCAAACACACTGTCATTAGCCACATTATACACATATTGCTTCACCAGTATTTCGAAATGAAAAACAGTCTAAATGAGCCCAAGTAGTACAATTTAAACATTGACTCCACTTCTCTCCGTTTACAGCTTTACTTTATAATCCATTACAAACATAACATTCCCAGTCTTCATCATTTAAACTCTTAACTCTTTCTTTACCCTTTCCTAATGCACATTTATTTATTTATTTTTTGTTCTTTAAACTTTTTTGATTTTTCAGAGGATTTAAATTGTGATTTTCTATCATGTGATGTTATCATCAGTGATTCTTCTCCCTTTCTTGGTGGTAAAGTGATCTTTGAAATAGATAAAATATTTGAAAAGCAGAGTGTTAATATATCAAAATCTATAGGGTGTTAATATATTAAAATTAATTTACTGAACATCTTGACGACAATGGTAATAAGGTGCTTGAACTAACTTGTGATTCAACTATATCAGGTTTATGTAAGACGGCATGAGAGCTTTTTTCATTATTAAACTCAATCTGTAATTATATCCTGATACAAAGAATAAATTCCAGATATACAAAAGCCAGAACAGATAACTTCTACAAATTATGCTTTAAAGAATCCTCCAAGTTGATCATTAGTCATTTTTTGTCCAGGATACTCACACAACCATGATTCACATTCTATATTATAAAAAGTTTTATGCGGTTTAAAAAAAACTTCAATGAAGTGGCTGCAACTTATGAGAATTATGAGGTGGTAATAAGGTATGAGGTGGTAAGGTTTTGAGGTGGTAAGGTTATAATAACAAATCTATTTTCCTTAGCAAAATCTAACAAATGCTTTTTGTATGTATTTTATGCCAATCTAAAATTAAAAGAATTTTATTTTTAATAGAAACTCTAGTGTGCTTTGTAAAATGTTTTATAAACTCTATAAACAGATCAGTTGTATTCCAGTCATTTTTAGAGCATCCTCCAATTATTTCAGTGGGAGCATGATCTATGAGCTCTAATTTCATTATATTTTTCTTAAATATCATCAATGGTGGAATAAATTGTCCAGTCACATTCATAGCACAAATAACAGTTGTCATTACACCCTATTCACCACTAGTTATAAAAGAAACACAATGTTTTTTTTTATTGTTATAACTTTAACAGATTTATGAACAGCTGTAATGCCTCATTCATCACAGTTAAAAATTAGATGAAGTTCTAACTTGTACTTTTTCATAAAAAATTTCTATATTATTGAAATAAATGTTCACAGAATTGCTGTTTAAACCATAAACATGATTTAAAAACAATCTTTGAGACTTTCTTATTGAAAGATCTGGATGTCTCTTTAAAAATCCAATTACAAAATCTTTTTCTATAACACCATTATATTTATTAAATGGGTGAACTATTTTTTACTTTTTGAAAAATTGGAATACAATTCGTTGAATGTCACTTATGGACAATCCATAATAAACTGAATCTATTTCTTTTACGTAATTAACAAAATGATTTTTAGTATCATCTTAAAATAAACCAAGTGATCTTTTATGTATATTATAAGAGACTAAACTGTTTAATTTTCTTTGAACCTTTCTGTGTAAAGTATCTTTATTTACATTAAATGTCAAAGCTATTTTTCTCAATGACATTTCTTTGAATTTTACGAAGTTGATTGCCAAAAACATGCTCTGGGCTATTCCATGTTTTCACGAGGTGACATTTGACTTTTTTTTTTGGAAAAAACATCAGATTTTAGCGCATTTAAAACAAAAAATTTTCATATACAATACAGTTTCTAAAAACAAAATTATTTAGTTTTAATATTTTATAGACTTTTAGGTATATGTATTAAAAGGTTGCGCCACGACGTGACAAAAATTATCTAGCATTTTCCATCATTAGAAGAAATGACAGTAGTTCAGCTCTTGTGGATATTTTGACATATTTTTTGTTATGTCTTGGATATTTAAAAGGTGTTATAATAGTTTCATAACATTTTAAAAATATTTTATAAATTTAAATGAAGACACCACATAATTATATCAACAGAGTTTACGTCACACTGTGACGTCACAGTGTAACCAGTACAAAACCTTTGAATATTAAGACAATAACATCATCAAAAAGACAGTTGAAACAAAAGAAACCAATTTATTCAGATTTTTATAAGATTGGTATAACAATAACGTTAACAAAACAGTTTATTGACAATAATTTCAAAAAAGTCTTGTAAAATTCAACTAAGTTTTTTTATTAAATTTTATCTAGTTAATTAAGTATGATAAACTTAAATAAGGTTTCATTTCCATTTTATCATTAAACTGTTTTAAGCAATGGGCACTAAATATTCCAGCCATTTTACAAGCATTATTAATAATGTTTCCAAGTTCTGTGCCATCAAAAGCAGTTTTAATTTTTTCAGCAGCAACCATGAAAACATTTACTTGACTTTTATCTCTGACGGCTTTATAAACTGCTGTTGCGTCATTAATCAGAGCTTCTCTTTGAACAATTTTTTGTGTTGCTAATCTTTTTATAGTTGCTTCTAAACCATCGCATGGTCCTTTATCATGAGAGGTTGCAAAGTAATTCCAGCAAATTTTAATTTTGTGCTTGCTCTCAAGCCATGGAATTGAAGCTACTATGTAACAATTTTTAAATTGACTGCTAGGACCATTAGACCAAACTAGCAAGTATTTTACACTCTTTCTAATAAGATTAGTTATTAACAAGTCAATGAAATAAATAACTGAACTTCTTGAATGGTTCAAATCCTCAGAAATAATAATGGCAGATTTACCATGCCAGCTAACAGCAGTAAATGTTACTAATTTTTTGTTCCAATGTGCTGACTGAACTTTATCCTGCCAGAAAGTTGAGAAGTTTTCAGCAAAGTCAACTTGTAACAAAACTGAATCAAGATTGCTTTTTAAAACCTTTTTTTGGTTTTCGTAACTCATTGATTGTTTTCCTTTTATAAAATAATGAAAAATAAATTTGGGTAGCATTGTGCAAAAGAAATTACCTGGTTCCCAAAGGAACCAGGTAATTTCTTTATTGTGGTTTTTTTCATCTAATTGGTATGTTTTGAGAAATAACCTTCCAACCTTACAAGCTTCACAAAGATTATTCCAACAATTATCATTTTTCTTGTGACACACTAAAGTATTTGGTAAAGCATGCGAATAAAGGGGAATTTTTAAATCAATGAAATGTAATGTTTTGAGTGACAAGATAATGTTTTCATGTTTTTGACATGAACAAACATTTCTAGGCATTAAGCGTGATAAAAGTATATGGCCTGGTCTCAAACTAGCAAACTTGGATTTACTGATTGAAAAATTAGTGTGTTTGTTTTTAAATATTTGATATGCTTCACTCATATTCATTGTTAAATACCTTTTTTGCATTTTCTTTTTTTCTTTATTATTTCTTAAAACAATCGCATCTTATTCCAGGTGCCTGACAGGATATACCATCTTGTTCAAAAAAACTAATGACGCATAGCTTCGTTTCATCATTAAGAGCATTAGGTCCATGTGTTGGTAGAATATCTGGTAAATCTTTGTTAAACTGAATTGCCTGTTGTTTAACAACAGTTGCTTTTTTAAGAGGAGAAGTTGGAAGAGCACGTATTGCTTTTTTAACAGCTTTACCTAAAAATAAGCTTTTTAACAGCTTTACCTAAAAAACAGCTTTACCTAAAAAATTTCTATGTAGATTTGTCTCATCTTGCGTGAGACAAATCTACATAGAAATTTTAAAAAGTATAAAAAAAAGGTTTTAAAATGATTTACTAGAAAAATAATTGGAATTCTAAAAAATTGGTCTAGTCTAAAAAATTTTGTTTAAAGTTTAAGCATTAAATCCTAAAATTCTTTGAAAACCAGTTCTACATGTTACATATTAAAAATATGTAACAATATGTAAAAAATATGTAAAACTACAAACCTTTAACTTTTGGATGATAGATTTAGTTTTTATTTTCTAATTTTAAAATTTATATTAAACTTTTAGTACAACATGGAATACCCCCTCTGCTGAGAAAAATTCCCACAAATAGTTTTTAACCATGTTTAACTTTCTAAATTATATATATATATATATATATATATATATATATATATATATATATATATATATATATATATATATATATATATATATATATATATATATATACACACATATATATGTATATTTTAATTACAATAGGAATTATCTCTTGTACAAAATATAAACATATTAGATAAATATAATAAATATAAGTAAACAAAATATAAAGCAGAATTCTATGTTGGATAACAAATAAATACAGCAAATATTAAAACATAAAGTATGTAAATCTACAGTATGTAAATAATAATATTTACTCTAATATTTCAAAGATTAGAACAAATATTAACATTTACAAATATTTATTATGTTTGTTGTTTTAATGTAAAACATTAAATAAACATTGTTTATATCGGCAAAACAAACATCTTGAGATCAAAAAACAATACAAAAAATTAAAACATTAACGCATCAAAATTTGTAGTTATCATTTAGCCATGAGTTGAAATGGTTTTCCCTCTCTTCATTTTCGTTATTTCTTATTAACTTTTTGTAACACAAAATGATTTTAAAACACAACTAAACTTTAAAAAATCTTGAAAACAATTGTGAAATTTGGGATCATTATAAATGCAATCTGTCTCATTTTGCTGCGCTGTCTCATTTTGCTGGGCTGTCTCATTTTGTCCCATTTTATCCAAGGTTAAATATGTCATAACTCTAAAATTCAAACTTTATTTTCGAAACTAGGATCTCAGCATAAAAGGTTTAAAAAGGCAATATAAAAACAAAGAAAGCCATTTTCCTGGAAATTTTTTGATAATTCTAAAATTAGTTTTGAATTCAAAGTAGTTTTAATTAAAAAATAGCTAATTCCAAAAATAGATTTTAAAAACTTTGTTCAAATAAAAAGTTATAACGGAAACATTTCCAGTGTAAATTTTTTTTTTTAATTATTTACCTCCCCAAGGCCCTAGGTGGCCACTACAGTCGAGGAGGCTTATCATTTTTTTTTTTATTGTTTTTATTTTTTGTTGTAAATAGGTACAACCCTCTCTCAACTCTTTAACTCCGAAACACAAACCTTGAAAAGCAAGACCGCTGCGTGGAGAAATTAAGTTGAGCGCGTACTTCCATGGACGTAGTGGGAGTCAAACTCCAACCACGCATTGCTTTAGCAATACACCAAGAAAATATCGTCAATACAAAAGATCAATTACCATTATTGTTATCCACAAATGCCAATTATCGTAGTTATTTAGGTAATTAAAATTAAATACCTGTAAAAAGAAATTCTTTTTCTTCTTGTTGGCAAGCTTGGTAAAAAAACATATCTGTCAAGTATTTTCCCAACATGTATATATGACATAAAAGTATAAATGGAGGAATAAGTGGTGGTCGGTTAGCGTATTCTAGTACCAATTTGTAACGCTCAAACTTCCAGATCGTATCAGCATTAGATTGAACTTCTTCAAAAGTATTGCTAAAAGGTAATTAACTAAGGTATTGCTGAAACAATGAAAAAAATAAAAATCAATGTATATTTATAATATTATGCACAAATATTTGTGTATAATATTATAAATACTTGTATAAATATTAAAGGAAAAAAGTTATTTTATTAATTTTCTTAAAGTTTCCTGGTAGTTTATTACATGAACATTGTAGAAACATGTGTTCAAATACATATATGTTTCCACAAAAAATAAAATAACTTTTTTTCTTTAATATCAAAATCAAGTCAAACTTTCATTTGAAAAATTCCTGCTTATATAATTAAAAACAATAAACTTGTTTACGTATTTTAAAACTTTATAGAATGCTGAACTCTTATTTCTTGGAAACATTGTTAATGCTAACTTCTATTTCACATTAGTATTATACAAGTGTAACATCCATAACATTCATATTGTGTAACATATTTCATACTATTAACATTTGTATTGTGTACATTAGCATTTGAATTGTGTATATAACCCTGTAATAAAGATGTAACCCGTTAATAAAAAACTTATCAGGAAAAAAAGCTATTGATGTACGGTTGTAAATATATTGTCCAAAATACATACACACAAGTCCCAAATATATTGTTTAATATGTACAGTTACAAAATATCTCAATATAATCTGTTTTTTCAATTGGTTAGCATTGTTTATTATGTACAGTTACAAAATATCTCAATACAGTTACAAAATATCTCAATTACTCTTAATTTATATCAATTACTAAACCAAAATAAAAGCATTCTGAATGACAATCAGAAAGTAATCACTAGCTTTTTTAACTGCTAATTTTTCTAGGTTTAAACTAGTGAAATAGGTTTAAGCTAGCTTAAACCTAGTTAACTAGCTTTTCTAATTTTGCTAGGTTTAAACTAGTGAACTAGGTTTAAGCAAGCTTAAACCTAGTTAACTAGCTTTTTTAATTTTTCTAGGTTTAAGCTTGTGAACTAGGTTTAAGCTAGCTTAAACCTAGTTAACTAGCTTTTCTAATTTTTCTAGGTTAAACCTAGTGAACTAGTTTTAAGCTAGCTTGAACCTAGTTAACTAGCTTTTTTAATTTTTCTAGGTTTAAGCTAGTGAACTAGGTTTAAGCAAGCTTAAACCTAGTTAACTAATCATAAAAATATTTTCAATGAGAAAAACAAGGCACTTTAAAGTACCATACAAATTAGTTACCATGCATAGCCAGCCTAATTTCTATTCTAACTACTATAAGGTTTATAACTTATTAACAATTATAAGGTATTATAAGGTAATAACTTATTAACAAGATACAAAAGTGTTTAACAAAATATATTTACTTAAATATTGCTATTAAAAGATTTAGAAGCAAAACATTTGCAACCAGCAGGTAACATCCCAGAAGAATCCAAGCAAAAAATTCCGAATAATTATTCATTTCAGGTGTTCCAAAGCGTGTTACATTACCTTATAAATAAAAAAAATGTTAAAACTTGTTAACAAAATGTTCAAATTGTTTGAATAAATAATTTTTTTTCATACAATAACAACTAACTTTGTGCATCTCGTTCAACAAATAATTCACCATATATGTTGAAATAAGGATGAAAGAATACATCTATAATCATATTAAATCCGGCTTCTTGTGGTACTAAAATGGATATCACAGAAATACCATATGCAAGAAGAAAAACAAACAGTATCAGCAAAAAGTTTACCATATCTTTAAACTAAAAAAGTAAACACAAAAAAAATATTAACATTTTATACATTTGAATTCATTAAATTCATTAAACCCGAAATTTTTAATTAAAAAAAAAGAAACCATTTTGGATATCATAATAACATAAGGACCCAATGCAATATCCACATAATAAACATTCAACAATCGTATCACCCACATGCCTGCATCTATGGCATACAAAACCTGTGCAACAGGTAATGTTTTTTGATTGAATCTAAAAGCAAGTGCAAGATAAAACACTAGAAGTGCTGCTGCATCCAACCTATTCCAATAACTTGACCACCAATTATATAGCTTTCGTTTGGCTGTAAATGCTTCATCATGTATAACCTTAAGTTGAATGAAAAATTATCTTTAATAAAAATCATAATAGAAAGTTATTTTTTTTGGTTCATACATTACAAAAATCTTACTTGTCGTAACTCTTCGATTGTTAATGAACCAATGTATAAGACCAAAATCCATTCTGTAATAGATGGCGTTGTAGTGTCTTTTATAAGCATTGCAACATATCCAAAGAAGATCAAAAAAATCAAATAGCCAAACTATAACAGATATAGAATTTCATAAAATTTTTTTTGTTTATAATTTATGAGTAGATAATAAAACTTATAAATACAATAAAAAAAATCTTACTAAATGTGACATAAACTTTACAACAGGAACTTTAAAATAAAAACTCCAAATTTTTTTGAAAATAGGCACTTTTATTTCTGTTAGTTCTTTTGATTTCAAAGTTGTATCATTAAATATATAGATGTTTTTGATTAACTGGTTAGAATCCCTAGGAATACAAAAACCTCAAAAAAATCTACTACTAGACAAAAAATATCTTAATTAAATATTTTAAGTAATATTACTTGATTTAAAAAAAAACGATTTTCAGACAAGTAAATTAAACCTTCAAACGAGTAAATAATAACATATCATTAAACATATAGTGTAATTAAGTTGGTGAGAAGAACAGTACTCGTCCATTTTTTGTTATTTGCACTTTTTTCATAATTTCATTTAACTTATGTTAATCTCTATATGCACTACAAAAAAAGTCTTTCTTTAATACTACTCCATCTTTCTATAATACTACTCCATCTTTCTTTAATACTACTCCATCTTTCTTTAATACTACTCCATCTTTCTTTAATACTACTCCATCTTTCTTTAATACTACTCCATTTTTCTATATTACTACTCCATCTTTCTTTAATACTACTCCATCTTTCTTTAATACTACTCCATCTTTCTTTAATACTACTCCATCTTTCTTTAATACTACTCCATCTTTCTTTAATACTACTCTATCTTTCTTTAATACTACTCCATCTTTCTTTAATACTACTCCATCTTTCTTTAATACTACTCCATCTTTCTTTAATACTACTCCATCTTTCTTTAATACTACTCCATTTTTCTTTAATACTACTCCATCTTTCTATAATACTAGTCCATCTTTCTTTCATTATTTTTTGCCATAAAACAAATTGATAAAATAGTTTATAAACTATAACTGTTTAAAACTTAAATATTGATTATCTTGGAATGAAAATATTGGACTAGTACTGTTCATCTTTTCAATTATTATAAATATAAAGTAAATATTAATGTATAGTATAATTATTACATATGTCAAGTAATTTTATTTATAAATCAAGATATTTTTATGCATTATTTAAATTCATCTTAAGATTGTAACAACATGAGTAACACACTAAAAAACAAAAATAATGTCTAAATTGTTGGGCCAGCGTTGCCCCCACATTGGCCCAACGTGTAGTGCTGCTTGGGAAGAATCTAACTCTATATTTTAGTAAGAACCTTATTACAATCTGTAGTAAAGTTCTTATTAATATAAACTGTAGACACAAAAACTACAAGTTTTATAATGCTTGCGTGTGGTTAAATATACTATTGAAGGTATAGGTTAACGTGGTAATAATTTATTACACAAATATGCGGTAATAATAATTAAACATTCTAATTTTTCTTTGTTATTATTCTTATTATATTTCTGATATTAATCTTGACACTTTAATAAATGTCAAGATTTTAGTCAAAATTTTAAAAATAATGTCAGCTAAATATATACTGTTCCCATTCTCATTAATCTTTCCTAAACCCACAGTATCATATTACTGTGGATTTAGGATAGCAGACTTACTAGTATACATACTTAACGTAGTGTGAATACTAGCATAGTAGTAAAATCCAAAGTAGCCATAGACCTACAGATTAGTACATTGAAGGTTTGGTTTTGGGTAGGCAGCATCTATTAAAGACAACTAGTCTGGTATATACAGTCATCAAAATAAAAAGTGGCAGCATGATTTTTATTAAAAAAGCTATAAAACTCAATGTTGAGTCACTTATTTTTCAAATTTATTTCTCAAATATAAATCTAGAACTACTAATGCATTATATCCTTTAAAATAAAATAAAAGTTATTTGTTGAAATTTAAATAAACTTCAGAAGTGATAAAGTTTAAATAAATAAAAAATTAAATGAAAAAAATGTATATTTTTTTAAATAATGTGAAACTGATTGTAACATTGGTTTTTGATGTTAGGTACTTTATTTACAGGTAGACGGGCCCCAAAAACCACATCATTTTTTCTTTTGTCATATCTTTAGTACAAAACAAATAATTTAAGTTTTTTTTGCTTTTTTATATGCATTTATATGGTAAAAGTTCTTCCCAGAGGTTTAGAAGTATTTTAGTATTTTTATTTTACTTTTTTTTTTCAGTAAAGTTTCTCTATATTTTAGTATGGGACCTCAAAAACCACATGGCTTAAATTGTTAATAACTTTTTTAAAGATCGTGAAACAATAAACCGTAGACTTGATGGTAAAAAAGTCAATGGTCTTAGAAGACAGTACTGTAAAATTCTCTTGGAGACAGAAGAGATGTCAATTGTTTCATACATAAAAATAAAAATCAAGCAATCTATTGATGGGCATTGTTCACGCTTAAATTTTGATGTCTTACGTATACATAATATATATACATACATATGTTCTTAACTCCACCATATACCACTGGTGTGACAGCTTTTACACCAACTCAACGAAAACCCTAATCATGAGTATCATGGTATGAAAGAAAACATTTTTACTGATTTTTACACACTAAATGCTGCAAGACATGTGGGAGTAACTTCTACATCACTAAACATCAATAATATGCAACAGGACAAGTTTGCACAAGTTGCTTTATGTATTGATACTTCTAAAAGTGTTTCACCCAGTATAACAACCCCTGAAAGATACACCCTTGAATTGGAAATTCAAATGGAATCAGTATTGGAAAGAAAAACTTCAGTGTTCACAAGAGCTTGTTCAAGAGCTGAGCGAAAAAAGAAACTTGAAGAAATCCCTGGTACTGACAGTGCAGAAAGTTAAGCCAAAAATTTCTAAAGTTACTACAAGGGTTACGCAGGTTCACAGATCAATGTAAGGAAAAAATGTGCTGGAGTTGGTGAAGGTAATTCAAGTTAATAAAAATCAAGAACTAAAGCATAATGAAAAAAGAAAATGGAACAAAGAGAAATATTTTTACGGTGTAAAAATGAATGCACATGTGGAGAAAGTGTGTGTCATGCCATAAAACTACACCAGTGCTTTTCTTGCCACAATGTACAAAAGTCAGTTTGCGGAAACTTATAATGTAAAGTGAATGGAAAGTTACTAATAATGTTTTTAGCTGCTGCAGTAACTAACGATTCCCTCAAACGTAAGGTTATTGAGCATGAAAGTGATGAAAATATTAGCAGTTAGAAGAATACACCAAGGAAGTGACCTTATAGCTCTTATGGCCATAATACAGATTATGCTTTTTAATTACCCATTATGCTTAGTCAATTAGTTGATTAATTTACTTAAGAGTTAATAGCTTCAAGAATGTATAAAAAAAATTTTTAACTGTCTTAAAGACAAATAAAGCTATATGTAAATTTTTTTTTTTACAAACAACTATCTTTACTTGGTTGTTAATAGAAAAACAAATTTCAATAGAAAAAAGAAAAACTCTCTTTTAATATTGAGTTTTTAATGTATATATATATATTTTTGTTAATGGACCACAAAAACCACACAGAAATCAGTAGTAGGAAAATGCCGGTTCTGTATCATTTTTTATTTTTAACCATATTTTCAACCATATATTAATATTAATATATGGTTCATTATCATCCATAGTTATAAAATGAGAGTTCTGGAACATTTTTCATTTTCAACCATATTTTCAATCATATATTTAATTAAATATATGATTCATTATCATTCATAGTGTGTATAAACTATATAACTAAGAAATAATTTTTTAGGTCACTTCGTGATCAATGCTACGCTAAAAAATTAGTATCAATTTCGTTTCTATTGCGTGACGTCACAGGTCACATGATATTCAGATTGATCTTATGCTCTGCTCAGTGCGCACGCGCTTAATTTTTGTTTATTTGCTTGTAGATGCTGTAGAATATGAAGAAGCTGTTACAGTAGTATTTGTATTAGCATTGCCAGAAGTAGCTGATACGCATATATTCACATTTACATTTGAGTTGTTCATTTTTTATATATTTAAGATAATTATTTATAAACTTTTCAATTCTGTATTATCAACCCATGAGTTAAAAGTATCAGGATACCCATACCACTTTACAAATGATTTATTTCCTTGTTTACGAATAACCTTTTCAATTCTAAATATCTCTTGACTTGTTTTTTGAAGTTCTTGTTCATAAAAAGTACCTTGTATTTCTTCATTATTATAATCAGTTATTTTATAAGTGGGTGGATCTGTGTACTGAACTTGTGATACTGTGAATACTTCTTCAGTCCATCTTGGTGTATATCCTTTTTCAAACGCTCCTTTCTTTTTAATTATTCTTACTTTATCACCTATTGAAAACTTAGGTTGAATAGGATTTGATTTTACTTTACCATTTAGATTAAACCAAATTTTATTTTCATTCTTTTTATCGCTTGCTTCAGCTGGAGTCATTTTAATTGAAGAATGCTTTGTGTTGTTGTATTGATTTACCATTTCATCTAAGACATCAATGTATTTTCTCGTAGAATTAGCTGAAAAGTATTTGAACATTTTTTCTTTCATTGTTCTATTCCATCGTTCAACAACGCAACTTTTTTCTTCATTTTCAGTTGAATAGAGATGCACTCCTAATGCTTTAACATGTTTGTTATAAAACTCCAAACCTTTATCAACCCATAATTTATCGCATTTCCTAATTTTAAAGATTTTATTGAATGCATTAGCAACTTCAACTCCAGTTTTACTTTTCAGTGGAATTATCCATCCATACTTTGAAAATATATCAATTACCATTAATAAGTATTTTATACCATTATTAAATTTAGAAAAAGTTTGCATGTCAACTAAATCAGCAGCCCATATTTTATCAATACCATTTGCAAACACTTTTTTTTTTCTAAAATGTTTTATAACAGGTTTATGAAGTTCATTTGCAAGTTCATCAGTCCATTTCACGTCGTTTGCTTTTTTCCTGTGCGTTGGTAGTTTTTTTGGCATAATTCTTTAATACTCATTAGTTCTTTATTTCCCATACCAAACCTTACTTTAGCAGATATAATAGGTTTTATAATCTTTCTTTCCATTTTTTCACGCATTGTAGGATTAGGTATAGCATCCATTTGTTCAAGCATCATTTCATCAGCTAAATTTCTATGTTCTTTATCTGTAAAATGTTTATAAGCAAGATCATGAATATAAGCTGCTTTATCAACTCTATCTACAGGCATGCTCCATTC